CCGGCTTGTCGTAGTTCAAAAACACAAAAACACAAAAACCCATAATCGGCGCTATGCGGACAGAGTGGATGTGATTGTGTTTGGATGAGAATATAAACATTTAGCATCCAGACACCCGATTGGTTTTCTCCGCGATGGCCGGCAGATCGGAGCGACACCGGGTGGGAAAAGTGGTCTTTGGAAAGTTGGTATTTAGCGACATGGACCCTCCTCCTCTTCCTCACGCAGATTTGTCCTAAATGTTTTTTTCTAACTTTATTGAGAGTCTGGCACAACTCAGCGACTTGCAAGTAGTGCAGCGTATGGTGTGTGGTTCACCTCTCACTGTCGGCCATCTGCATGGTCTCCAGCTTGGAGTGAGGTCCCCTGTTGAAGCCCTTCACCTCCTGCTCCTCCAGTCCTTCCAGCAGACGGATGGCGTCCTTGTTGACGCCGCGTCTCTTCGCCAGCACCAGAGGGGTGGAGCCGTTGTGGTTACTGTGGAGCAGAGCAGCCGACAGACACACTGTTAGAAACCAGGGGGGGGGGGAGGGGCAAGTGTCAACACACACACACGCGCTAGAGAAAGGTTTATCAAAAAAAATCTCTCTCTCTCTCTCTCACCCCCTCTCCCGCCGGGTTACCCGTCACGAGACGCATGTGTAGCCTGTCTCCACCTCCACCCACGTGCCCCAGGCGTGCCCCTCCCCCAACTGTCCACAATGAAAGTGCACGCCTGAGGCAAAACCCGGCCCCTCAAATACCAGACCGGTCATTCGTGAGAGGCACAGCCGGCAGACGGCCGCCAGAGTAAAGACCGACAATGAATTGGCTTCTCAAACGGGTCTTTCTCTTATGCGCTGTCCACTGTTCTCTTGTAGAATGTGTTGCGATTTTCTCGATCATCGGAGATCAAGTTAAGTTTCCCGCGCTGAAAGGACGCGAGTTGAAAGGATGCGAGCTGCGGCATTGCCCGCGCGATGCCAGCGATCGTCTGGTGGCCGCGTGGGACGATATTTGGACGTCGGCACCAGACTTCCGAGACCGGATGACTCCGAACGAGACCGTCACCTTAAACAGCGCAAACGCCAACGACGCAGGACTGTACGAGCTCGCGTGCGGCACCGGCGAAGTCATCCAGCCTTTGGTCCACGTGCACGTTTTTCTAAGCACCAATCGCACGGTGACCGAGGGGGACTCGGTCTCCTTCGCGTCCTACGCAAACACGAGGGGACGCGGGGTCTTCACGGTGGCTCGAAACGAAAAGCCGGTGTTCGAACTAGACTACGGGTCCGGGAAACAGACCCGCGGTCCCGGGTTCGAGGACAGGGTATCCATCTCCCCCCAGTGGAAGGATGAGGGGAACTTGGCGATGACGCTGAAAGGGGCGACGACTGCAGATGAAGGCGTTTACTTTTTCTACGTCCGAGACAAACTGGGAGAGACGGTGCCGCTCCATGCTGCGAGGCTGAAAGTCAACACGCGCGTCCCGGATCAGACCACCAGCGGCCCGGTGAGTACCAGCTCAGTCAGTGCTGCCAGGGCCGTTTGAAGGAATTTGGGGGCCCCAAGCAAAATGGACATGGAGCCCCCCCCCAAGCCCCCGCCGCGCGCACGCAAAACCCACAGGAACCACAGCACAGCCATAAAGTTTAACAGGACTTTCGCGACGGGCCTGAGTGCTGCCTATAGGCACCCATCCATGTATTCTGGTCACCATCTCTGTACTATATATTTCACCTATCGAGTTATTCCTCTCTTAACCTGTAAAAGGACCAGATGCAGCTCAAGAAGTTCATCAAATGGGGACATGCAACACACACACACACACACACACACTAGGCTGCCAAGGATTTTAGAATTAAAAGCAAATCGATTTGGAAAAATCTGACCCCTTGTGAGCCTCCAGACCCACATGTTGGGAACCACTAGCTTAGTGGTTAAATTGGCAGAGGCAGAAAACACAAACGTTGAGAGAATATGGCAGAAAACAAGTCCTCACCAAAGCCCTCTGATCCGTGGAGCCCCTTTGTGTGCCGCCAACCCCTTCTTCCCCCCACGCTCACCCCTTTCCTCACCCGTCCTCACCCGCACCCGTCCCCCTCCCGCTCGCTGTGGGCCCGCGCACACCTGGCCTTCGCAAATTAGGGCCCTGGAAAACCGGCGAGCGGAGAGAAAAGCGGGATGCGTGGTGGAGCGGGAGGGAGGGAGGGGAGGGAGGGAGGGGGGGTGGGCGTTTGGTCGACGGGGTCTTTCAGCATTCCGATGGAGCAAAAAGTTAATGACGGCTCTATTGTGTTGTGAGAAAACTGGCCGGAGGAAATGTGTTACAGGGAATCCTGGCCTGTGCCAGTGAGCAGTGACAAAAGGGGGCCGTCCATCAGCAAGTTTTCACCATATTTAGATCGCTTTGTAGTGCCCTCACTCATCCTCGCTTCTCACACAATGCGAATTTGTTTCGGGACGGCCGAGCGGCAAATAATGAGAGGACTTTGTTCTTCCGGACGCAAAACACATCAAGGTTATCAAGGAAGGCCCGAATGGGGTTTTTAGACCACAAATAAAGTTGTCCGTTGATCTTTAAATCATATCCAATCACTTTCTCACTCCGTAACTCCCTCCCTCGCCTCCTTCCCCATAAAGGCCGCCCCAACGCGCCCGCCTTAATGCACCCTTAATGCGTGCTGACAGCTTCCCTCCTTAATTGGTGACAATGACTGTAGTCCGAGTTACGTCATATCACAGACGGGACGTCACGTGTAGAATACAGCATGCATTAAATGCGGTGTGTGCCGTGCATCCCTTTCTTAATCTTCACTGTGTGTCTAACTTAATCTGTGTTTCCTCCCTCTCGTTCTGCCGCTTGTAGGCCACTCAGAGCGAGAACAACATCTGGACTGCTGTCCCCATCACGAGCGCACTTCTGGTGGGGCTGGCGGGGCTGGTGGCGGGGCTGGCGGCGGGGCTGGTGGTGGGTCGCAAGGCCCCCTCTCTGCTCGGACACTTGAAGACGTGCCGCTCCAGGTCCCGCTGCAGCCCAGATGTGGCTTCACATCCAGCTGCGGCAGCAAAGCTACTGAACGGGAACTCTCGGATCCCTGAAGCCTCTTTGGAAAGTTTCCACGCAGAGTCCAAAGTCTGAACACGCAACAAATGTTCTCCTGCTGGATGTCTGTTACTTCCAAGTAAATGATACATTGTGTCATTGTGTCATTACACCAGTGTTGGGAGGATTTTAATCCTTAAAGTCAGGCCACCCAGCAGTCCAGAGATCGGGCCGGATAGGCCCTAATAGGCCCAGTTCCACCCGATCAACCGTTTACGAGTGTATTAGCCAATTCTGAATCTGGAACATTTGTGCGGGATGGATTAACATGTGGCCAAAGTCCAGGAAATGTTTCTTAAATATTTATTTGAGAAGATGTATTTTTTATGTATTTAATAAAATAAAGAAATAAATCAACTCCCTGTTCACATTCTTTTAGCCTGCATAGGCTACAGGAACCTTATTGCCCAAACAGCCCAGAATAAAGTGACATGGCCGATATTATTAGGAATAAAGTCTGTTGGGGGAAAATTGTTGAGCCTGCGTGGGGTGAGGCTCTCAGGAATGTGACCTTTGATGTGAGCCGGTGACTTAAGGCAGTCCAGAGTGAGATAAGACACAGATGAAAACATGCGTGCCCTGACTGACCTTTTAGATGTTGTTGATTGTCTGGGTCCATAAAGGGAGGGTCACAGGGTCACCCCTACATCATCTGGTACTTTTCCCACATTCCTCTTGAGGGGTGGGCTGTCCTGAGGCAGCACAAACCCCCCTAAGTGTATAAAACCTCCTGTTCTCCTCTTTGACTTGGTCAGATCTTCCTGCTCCTTTTGGGGGAAGGAACCTCTGTCCCTTTTCAGCTGAATTGTAGTCATTTGACTTCTGTCTGTGCTTACGACTTGTGCTGATGATTTCTGTGTTCTTTATCTTTTTCCTATATTCTAGTTAGTAATAAATACTTAATCACAAAGCAAGCTCAAGATACTTTTGATTTCTCACATGGGCTAAATCCACAAATTTCCACCACAAAGTCCATCAATGTTAACCTTTATGTTGCAAAGTTGTAAAGACCAGAGGTCTCACCTGAAGCCCCAGATGAGGGGCTTCCTCTTCAACCCCGAGTTAATGGAGGGACCCTCGCGGGTTAACACTGATGGTTATGGCTGCTTTTATATCTCATTGTTTTATATATCTGTATAGAATAAAGTGACAAGGCCGATATTTCTAGGAATAAAATCCGTCAGTGTTAACCTTTCTTACGTTGGGATAAGATGAGTGACATTTCTTTATTGATTAAGAGATAAAAAGTATTATGTGGCATAAAATCACTTTTTCTTCAGGAAACAGAGCAACTGTACAGAAAAGATGTCAGACTGATCACATTCATTAGCTTTAAATAATACATTAATTCTCTTTAAATAACAATACTATTAAAGAAAATAATCATACTGGGCAGATTAAAGACATTGAGTCATTATTTATTAATGCATCGATCAGATGAATCAGAAATCTGACAATACGGTTGGCAGATTCAAATCACACACATGATTTTCTTATTTACACAGAAAATCAACAGGCAGGAAAAGTCACAACAAATAAATGTACGAGTCAAGTGACTTACAAGTCCGTTAAAATGAAGTGAATATAGAGCAAAACATTGTTAATCTGCTACAGTTTGAGCACAAGCCCACATAAGATGTTTACTACTACAGAGGCGCATGCTCCTGGCGGGAATGTCTTTAGCGAGATGCCGTGAAGCCTGAAGCGAGCTCTCAAACTGTCACGCTGCTCTCCTCCTCCTCCGTTACGCGACGCAACGCTGCCGCGCTCACAACCAAACGGTGTCCAGCCTTAAAACCAGAGCGATTACAATGATAAAAGGAAGAGAGGGTACGTGGTAAAATGATAAATAACACAATGGGCAGAATAGACCAATCAGAAAGTAAAATATACAAAACAT